CGCCGGAAAATAGTCCGATATGCTATGATGCCGGGAGTTGTGCGTTTTCTGGCTCTTTGAAAAAACTGAATAGCTCTGCAGCAACAACTTTAGGATCTGCGGTTTTCACCATGATTTATGAAACTGTTTGCTCTAAAGAAGCCCTTACTACGGAAGAAATCTAAGATGATCGATTGAGCAGCATTATGCGGTAATAGATCGTGGCTTGAAAATTGTAAAACAATTTTCCCTTGCCACTTGCTTTTTCAATTAAATCATATTGTTACCATTATATGGTATTAATGCCATTACTAAAACAGTATTTGGTTTAATAGTATGACTAAAACCCTGTTTAAAGTCGTGTAATTGAGTCAAACCTATAGTAAATTAATTCACACAGCTTTTCCTCTTTTGCATCCGAAGAAGGATCCCATACTCACCTACAGGATCGGTACAAACTAAAAATAAGTCTCCAAAAAATGTGTGTTGTTTCTGTTCGACTGTAATGATTAGTGTAGTTCATTGCAAATTAGCAAGAGACTCAAAGAAACCAGCCAAGACAACATAGTAACTATATTGTTTTTTTTCACACTGGCTAATACAAACATATACATATAAAGTACTTTGTCAAACGATATGGTTATAATGTTGTTTTGGCTGTTTTCTTTGAATCGCTTGCTGATTTACAATCAACTGAAATAACCATTACAGTCGAACTGAAATAACACACATCTGTTGGAAGTTTATTTTTAGTTTGTGAAGATTTTCTAGGTAAGTAATGTGATCCTTCTTCAGATAAAGTTAGTTTTCTTCTGTTCTTCAGCAAATCTAAATTAAAGAAAATATATACAAGAAGAATATATCTACAACAAGAAATATTAACAGAACAGAAAAAACTAACTTTATGACAACAAGACCAACCATAGTCTGGCATGGATGCCAAAATGCAAATCAGAAAATGAATTATTTAGCAACGAGCAAAGCTATAATAAAAATGGTACTATCACAGATACTAGAAGATACTAGAATTGACTTTTAATTGCTTTGAGAAATAAGATTGCGACATAAACGCTTTTCGCCGGAAAAAAAGTGAACGTAATTTTGAACCTTCCAAGGACTACAAGCTTTCCAATGCAGGCGGTTGCTAGAGACTATAGTTTCTATTTTGAGCATTTTCCCGAAGTCTTTATCAAATCTTTCATTATGCGAACCATAAAATTCTGCGGTTTAGTTTAAAATCTTCTTTTTTCTAAATTTTTTTAAAAAAAGAAGATTATAAAATGAGAATACAGGCGTTGCGAATATCAGAATTTTCGTATAACTTTTAAGGGTACCCCTTGTGATGCTCGTTAGGCCTTATCTAACAGCTTCGCAAAACAACCTCTAGATCAGTTTTCACAAACAGTAACAATTATTGTTTTCACAACAATTAATATTATTTGCAAAAAACGAGTCTACGATAGTAATAGTAATGTAAATGTACAACTAATAAACGAGAAATGTTGTTGTTGAAGGTGGTGGTTCTTTCTCTTCTAATCAATGTTTGTTCGAAGAGAATGTAATGCAATATGTAATCACATGAGTGGTTGATATGGAGAAGAAGAATCGAAAACTAGCAGTCGAAAGCAAGTACTGCAAACAAAATACTAAACTATAAAAATATTAAACATAAATTATGTGAAGATAACATTAAAGCTCCTTCTTCCCGGTATATAAGAGAAGGAGAAGAAGAAAAGATAGTTCAGATTTATTGTTTGAGAAACTTCTGTTTCTTTGAATAAAGGAGAAGAAGAGGTCCAAATTTTAAGTTGAAGAATGATAAGAATGAAAATAGTTTTAAATTTATTCTTGATTACAACTCGTTTTTCTTGTAACCAAGGAACAACAAATATATTGATAAAATTAATATTTTTAAATTACTTGCCTTTTTCTCTCTCAAAAATCCGACAACAAAACAACTGAAGGAAAATCTTGAGATAAGTAGAAAGAAGCAAAGCACTAATTGAACTCTCTGTTTCTTAAAACTTCCAAACAAAAATAGAAAAATCGCGAACTAAGCAAAAGCCATACACTTACATTATTCTAACCTAACTTAGAGTTCTTAGAAATAATATCGCTGTTCTTGACGAGAAGTAACGGAAGATAACGGACATGGTCGTTACAATGACCGTCCTTCCCAGACGAGACTCGTCCTTGAATCTCAATATCATGATTTATTTAAGTATCTACAAACAGCCACATTGAATTTTCAACTTAGTGATCTTAATTGTTCGTTGGTAAGTCTTTCGTTTAATAAATGACGTGTTTCACTCTGTTCTTTCTGTGAGTCCCAATCATAATGTGAGCTAACGACAAATCAAATGTCCTTAACAGCATAAAAATTTTGAAACATTTCTAAAGTATGCTAAAGATGTCTTTCATTTATATCAAAAGCGGTCTCAAAAAATAATACAATTTTGATCTTTAGCATCAATGTCTTCTTACGTTGAGTGTGTACGTATTTACAGAAAACGCTGTTGCTTTTGATTTAATATTTAAAAAATATATTTTTATTTTTATATATTGAATTATTTGTCATTGTTTTAAGTATAGGGATGGTTAAGTCCTGATCAATCTTATGTCTTAGAAAAATATTGTGCACGTAAGTCATTGTCTAAGGCAAATGACGCTCTTGAGAAAGCAGCATACATTAGTTACACAAGAGTATCAGAGCACACAAAAATAGGAGGTAAATTCATTACTTTAAAAAGCAAACATGGATAAGTAAGTTATATTTTGTCTATATTAGTTCGAGCTAGACATGCGCCGAAGATTTCGCTAAAGATTTTTATTAAATGTTTAAAATTCTTTAATTTATACAACGAGTTTTACTAAATAAGTTGGTTGATCATTGTCCATTTTTCTTAAACCAACTGAAATATATTTTTAACTTATAGGACTTATTAATTGAACATGAAGAAATATTTTGGTCTTTGTTTGCTGTTGATATGGATCAGTTGAGATAGTTTTCCATTATTTCGACTACTAAATGATTACCTGAGAAATCATGGTAAAACAACATTGTTGTGTGGTGTGTGCAATTTAAACTAAGTGAATTGTCTTCTCTTAAAGAAACTTTACGAAATTGTCGTTTTCATCAACAATTACGAGATATATTTGCACCATTAGTCGTTCGTTATGTTGACTTAATGGAAGCGTGTATTGTTCAATCAATTCACAAAGGATTCGAAAAAGAAAACTGGAAATCGAGAACGTATGTACAGTTTCAGGTTCTCTCTGAAGTTGTTTCTATGAAACTACAACAGTTGGAGTATAGGAATACGAACTCACAATTTTTGTTCATTCACATTTTAGCTATTCGCTCAATAGGGAGGGATTCACTAGCTATTGAATCTTTGAAGGAAGCATAATTTTTTTACACAGTACAGTGACTATAATTAAAATTTTATGATTTTCTTACAAACGAAAATTAAAATTTTTGATATCTTGATGGGGATATATGGGTTTTGTCTGCACACTGATATCTTTTAAACTGTAAATCTAATATAAAGTAGCTAAATACAATAATTTAGCATAATAAGAGCATTAAACATTTCAGACGTGGTATGAATGCTAGCAATTGTTTAATAAAAAACGAACAAATGTGTTGTGTTGCCTGTTGACCGCGAGAAGTTGAGACAACGTACCTTTGATAATCGATTCAATAGACACCTTTCGTTGTGATTATCAGTATTAACTTGATTTAGTATTAAACTTCGACCGAAGGTATCACATCGGAAGATCCGGGTCTTCTAGTCTGACTAATGAAATACAGTTTCGAAGGGGGTCCTCTGATATGTCACAACAACAGCTTTTGAAGACATATAAGGAGAAAAAAGACAATATTTCTTAAGCAAGATAACAACAGTTTAGACATAGATTCTAAGAACGCTCAATAGGAGGGATGAGGAGGAGTCTTCTAATACAACAAACCCAGTTGCAGTAAGTCAAGAAAAACAGGTCTTAAAGTCAATTTTAGATATATTCTAAAATAAGTTCATACACAAAATGCCAGCTCTTAAGCTAGAAATCAGAAAGATCGTTTCGGAGCTTTTATTCTAGTACGATCATGGTGTTATTTCTGGCGCTGCATTAGCTAACTGAATAGCTAAGGCTGTATGCATGTATAATGTCCGGGTTAAACAGATATTTCATCCGATGGCTGTGAAGAATCAGCGGAGCCAGGATATGTTCTTTGCCAATACCGTAAATCGTGTTCAATGTTTTGTTTGGTTTGGATATCGTATCTCAGTTGATCAGAAATTTCACTCAATTGATGAAAATATCTCAATGGATGAATAACATCGAGAAATTTCAGTAACGTTTGTTGAATGAAATTGAGTCGCTCTGTTTCCAATTGATCACATTCTTTGAAGATCTGTATTGCTTCTTCTCGATAACGAAGTTTAGTTTCTATTAACTCTTCTTCTGCTGCATTGATTTGTTGATTGAGAGCATTGACGTTGGATTGTTTTCGTACTCGATGAGATGTGGCATTTTGCTTTTCGACCTCAGTGGCAAAATGATTTGCTTTGATTCCCTCAAACTTTCGTTGAGCATCAGCAAGACTTTGGTTAGCATGAATTCGTTGGCGATGAAGTTTTTGTAAATTTGTATTTGCGTTGTCAACAGGTTTTCGAGCATTTTCAAATAATTTTCGTATTCGTCTCGTTTGCCGATGTTCAAAACCGTGTCCGAGTCTCTTTGCTCGATAGGTTTCGTCTCGTCTCTTTTCACATTCTGTGATCACTTCTTCAGCTTGATTTGAAACATTTTTCCACACGGGAACAGTTGATTCTCTTGATTCCGCCAATCGATAAAGAATAGTTTTGTTCGTTCCGTACGAGACGATTTTCGATGCTTCATCCAATTTGTCTTTCCAATGTTTAGCTGATCTTCTGTTCAACTCATCTTGACTTTCGAAGATCTCGCGGTCGTTTCGCATTTGTTCAATAAAATCTGTTATCATTTTACGCCCTGAAAACCAGAGAAAAGATTAAAGACCATTAGTAAGATTGCAAGGATTTCTTTACCTTCATCTAGACGTCTCAAAATGAGTTCGTAGTTCTCTCCTTCGAAGAAATCGATTTTGTGTTGTTGATTTTCAGGAGAGGTTGATGGGGGATCTGAACCAAGTCCAAAACAAGCAGCGAACTTCTTAGCCATTTTCTGGTTTGTCAATGAAGAAAGTAGTCAAGGTAAAGAATCAATGCCTTTGATAGACCTTTTTATACACTTTGTTCATCTTGACGGATCGAAGCATTGCGAAAGTTCGACGGAAAAATCCCAGTTGATTTATTTCTGTTCTCTGTGAGGGTGAGGAAAAACTAATAATGTAATCAAAATGATTAATTTCACGTGTCATTATTAAACAGGCTAATCAGAGAGAATTCCCCATGAAAATCTCATTTGTATCATGTTGATTCACACTCCTTTCATCATTGATTGTTTGGCGATTCATGCAGAGGAAAAAAACCACAGAGCTTCTGCTGTTATCTGAAAGAAAACACAGGTTAAAGAAAACAAAAAAATGAAATTCCGTGACGGCTGGCCACGCTGTTATCAAAAAAGTAATAAAATCTTTATTGATCTCGTGAAGAAAAAGATAAGTGCTTTCGAGAATCTAATAATGTTGTTTTTTTTCCTGCATGAATCGCCAAACAATCAATGATGAAAGGAGTGTGAATTAACATGATACAAATGATCCACCAGCGATGAAGAGCCGTCTCGGCATTCAGCGAAGCGTACCCAATAAATGGAACCAACGGAATTCAAAAGTTTCACAGCACGATCTGGTAGACAATGGACTACCCGAGAACCCGTCGAAATAAAAATTTCCATCGCAAACATCGTTCACCAGCGCAGTGGTGTTGAAAGAATAGCTGCTGGTATACAATCTGCGAAGGACACGTTTCAGCTCTTTATCACAAAGGAAATGATTGTTCTTGTAGTAACAGAAACGAATAGAAGTGCTCATCTTGTCATGACATAACTGAATGAACGAAACGTTCGACAAGAGAATCAATGGAAAGATACTGATTATAATGAAATTTCGTCTTTTCTCGGATTATCGATCCTGGCGGGTGTTTATCGATCCAAAAATGAAACTTTGGATGACTTGTGGTCTTTTAAAACTGGTCGACCAATATTTCGTGCTGTCATCGCGAAAAATCGATTCCGAAGTTTGCTTCGATTTTGTCGATTCGATGATAAATCCACCAGACCTGAGAGATCGACAGACGACAAACTAGCACCGATTCGAGATCTATGGGAAGGATTTTTAGCTCAATTGAGGATTTGCTACACACCAGGTGACTCCTTAACCGTGTAGCAGAAAAGAAAACATGAGAAAGTGTCTAGTAGTATATTCGATAAATTGTCGATGGAAAATTATAGGCTAACTGTATAATCGTCGTATCGTAAATTAAGTTTAACATAAGACTGACTTTACGTATTTCGTAAGCTAATTGATGATAATGAATGACATATGGTAGAATAAGAACGGATATGCCGTGGGATACTGTTAATATTTCCAAAGCAACAAAAAGACGAACGAAAAATGTATGTTGATAACTATAATCATGTTTATATATTGAACCACGATGAGTCAATTCCTAAAATATTAAGAATACATTAGATGATGAAAACGATTTTTTTAAGACGCACAGGGCTCTTGATGTAAGAAAAAAATCGTGACTTTGAAGAGCTGAAAGATTTGAAAAATCATTCTTGGAATGAACCTACTTTTCATGTATATGTTTCAGACAACAGTAGGGTTTTTTCATTAATCTTATTTTCATAGTTATGTGTGCGAGTATATTTTACAATTCAAATCAAAAAATTTTTCATATTTTTCTTTCATACAAGAACCCTAACAGGTACGAGGTATACAACAGAGATTGTAGCATACAGAGATGCTCTAATACTCTTACGCTGCGTATTCAAACGCTAGTGCGGAAAAATGCATACGCCGTGTAACGAAACTCTTAAGTAAAGTATTGAAAATTACCTAATCGATATACTGCGTAACGAGATAACTGAGATATTTGCTCAGTATGCGTAATACGCGTATTGAGATATTTGCAAGGGGGAAAAAGCGTTTTGGAATGGTATAGAATGGTACGGAATGGGTTGGAATGGGCCATTCCAGGCCATTCCATATCATTCCAAAATAGTCAAAAAATGTTTGGAATGGTACGGAATGGCCTGGAATGGCCCA